GACATACCACTCTATTTCTTTCATTAAGTCCTCGGTTCATTCCCCAAAAGCCAACACAGACCCCTTCTAATCACAATAGGTCTAAATATTCCCATCACACCATCTCTCCCTAAACCTAGATGGAATTTACAAAAAGCAAATTGGAGTGATTTCACTAAGTCCATAGAGAGAACATGCCCAAGAATACAACCCGTACAGGAAAACATCCCCCGCTTCACCAAACTCATTCTACGTAGTGCCAGAAAATTTATTCCAATAGGCCAGCGATCTACTTACATCCCATACTGAACAGAAGAAAGTCAACCTCTTCTTAAAAGATATGAAGAAACACAGGACCAAAGCATAGCTGAGGAACTCCTAAAATCTCTACAAAAAGGACGTTGCAAGAAATGACAGGAAACAGTAGAAAACACGGACTTCTGCGCTCAAGCAGAAAGGCATGGAATCTCTTGAAGAAACTTGATCCAGATAAACGTAGGCAAACAACACAAGAGGCACCGATTAACGTTGAAGATATCGCAAAACAAATAAAACAACGTAGCACCCATAAACCAATCCATAAATTCGAAAAAGAAATCAGACATGAATACTAACGCTTATACAAATCAAACCCGGATGACAGCTTTTCATTATTGCCAATTAGTAAGCAAGAAGTTGACACTGCATTTAAACAAATGAAAGCTGGCAAGGCAGCCGGAATAGACGGTATCTATCCAGACATGATCAAACATTTAGGCCCCAAGGCGATCAACTGGCTTGCATTATCTCTCTCGGATGGTATTGACAAATCAGAATACCCACAGACTTGGAGAGAAGCTAAAATACTTGCCATCCTCAAACCAGGAAAACCCTCAAACGATCCCTCGAGTTATCGCCCAATTTCTCTGTTGTGTTGTTTTTTTAAACGTCTAAAGAGAATACTGCTGACCAGAATAGTACCCTAACTTGACCACTATATCTCAAAAGAACAAGCAGGCTTTCGACCAGGTAGAGATACCACTGAACAAGCTCTGGCCTTAACGACATACATCGAAATGGGATATGTAAGAAAACAGAAAACTGGAGCTGTATTTATTGATCTATCTGCGGCTTACGACACGGTATGGTACAACGGTTTGATGTATAAGTTAGCAAAATGTATCCCTTGTAAGAAAACACTAAAGTTTTTGAATAAAATGTCTGGATCAAGAATTTATCATTAATGTTTGGGTGACAAAATAAGCAAAAGGAGAACTATAAAAAACGGTGTTCCCCAATGTTCAGTTCTAGCACCAACTTTGTTCAACATCTATATCAGTGACTTACCACAGACCACCTCTCTCAAACTTGGCTACGCTGATGACTTCGTACCATCACACCAATGTAGAGATATTAAACAAATTAAAGAAACCCTCAGCCATGACACAACAAAACTACAAATCTTTTTCAACAAGTGGTACCTAAAGATGAACACAACAAGAACTGTAAGCACCGTCTTCCGCTTGGACAATCACAAAGCAAATCTACAACTTTCAATACGTGTAGGCAACTCCAAATTACCATATGACTCATCTCCAAAATACCTGGGTGTGACTTTAGATCGCTAGTTAACATACAAACAGCACATTGAAAACACTGCCACAAAACTGCAAAAACGAAATGGAATAATTAAAAAACTCGCAGGAACATCGTGGGGCGCCACTCCAACGGTACTTAGGACATCATCTCTTGCCCTATCATACAGTGTTGCAGAATATTGTGCTCCAGTTTGGTCTCGCTCTAAACACGTCAATAAGTTAGATGTATTGCTAAATGACACAATGCGAAAAATTTCCGGAACATTAAAATCAACCCCAGCCCCTTAACTACTTGTAATGAGTGCTATAGCTCCACCTAACATACGCAGACAGGAAGCAACACAGAAATAACATCATCGCATTGAAAATACACAAATTGACACTCTACTAAAAACTATTATCCAGTCTGCCCCAACTACTTCGAGACTTAAATCACGAAAACCTTTTCATAACTCCAAGATTGAATCGTTTGACCTCAACAATACATGGAAAGAACAATGGTCCGAAAATAAACCAAGGGGTGCTGATCTAATTAAAGATCCCATAAATGTCCCTCTCCCTGGTTTGAAGAAGCTAACTCGTAAACAATGGAGCACTTGAAACCGAATAAGATCAAAACAGGGCAGAACAGCAAACAACCTATACCGATGGGGCTACAAAGACTCACCAATTTGCCCATCACGCAACGCCACCAACCAGAATATGGACCATATCATCCTGCACTGTCCGTTCACACGCATTGAAGGCGGCTACGCAACAGTGCATAAAGCAGATGATGACTTCGAAAGCTGGCTTGATGAGACACATATGGAGGTGTGACTACCATACGAAACTACTACTACTACTGCATCTAAGATAGCCAGCTCTAGGTGGTGATTTAGACTGTGCCACAAAACTAAGGCCGGGAATTTCCTCTTCAGCCTTGCCCCAACGCCGCTTTGTACTCCAAACATGACAGAGGCTCCATCGTTTGTAAATGCAACGAGATGCTTTTATAAGTAATCCTTGTCAAACCCGTACTCTGACAGCGTCGTAAGAATACACTTGACGATAGATTCTGCATCTTGACCTTCTATTTCATGGAGTTCAAGGAATACGTTCTCAGGAACATCAAGAATACTACACGTATTTAAATAATAGGACATGTTTTCTTTGATAAAGAAGTCGAATCATCAGTTATAATTGCGATTTTTTGTCATTGTCCTAAATTGTTTTTCATATTTTTCTTCTCATTGTGTCCGCAATACATTCAATAATCTGCGTGCAACTTAACCTGGAATGTAATGCCTAATTCAAACGTCACATTTTACATGAGTCGAATGCAATTAAAACAAAAGATAATGAGGCATTCTATCTCGTTTTCATTTCTCTTTAATGCACTCGGCGCATGTAAAATGCGACGTTTGAAACGGGCTTAAAATTGACCCAAGATCTATCCCATTTATGTTCTGCAATGTAGCAAGGTATGGTCCGTGAATGGTCGGTTATGGTAGCCAGCTTAAATTTCTAAAGCAATTCTTTTTAGAACTTTCGGGTTAATGCTCTTATTGTAAAACAATTCTTTTCAGAACTCTTGATTTCCTTAGTTTTTCCTTTGTTTTCTCTGGTTGGTTCTTTTTTCACGGTTTTATTTTGCGTTTCATGCTTTTTATTTTGTTTCAGTCCATTTACCATAGCAATTTCTCTCTTTAAGGCGTTACAGTTAAATCTCGATGCAACATGATGAGGACAAGTTATAATTTATACGTGTACGTTACATGATAAAATCTTGAACGAAAAGCTTATGAATACAATCCATGCAGTGGGAATTCCAAAATTGATAAATAATCACATGAAAAAAGTTTGATTTACCTTTGGGCTTGATTCCAATTGCCTTCGTGTTTTTTACTAATGAAACGAACATGAATCATACACGGTCAAAAAAGATCAGATTGTTGCAATATTACATGGATTGCGCATCACTAATTAAATTTGAAGCCGGAAGGCGGCCATATGGAATAGTCCCACTTCACGAGGTTGACATACAAATTATATCACATTCTGCTATGAAAAATTGCGAGAAGCTTCTCTTATGATGCATTGACAAAACTGCTACGTATTAGCTTTAACAAGATTAAGTGTAGGAAGCAGTTGTATTATTAAGAAGGGATTTATTCAAAAATTTTCGTGACATCATTTGAGAGATACAATCGCAAGAGAATGCTTCTAGCTTCACAACGAATGATTTTTTAGGGTGTCCGGTGTATAAGTACAATGCGCTCCAAAATTCATTGCTATCGCGGTTTTTACTATAGATTATTATTACGATTGGGACTGTTCAATATAGCGGCGCATCTAATTATAGCTGTCTACTTAGGCTTCAATTTTTTGGGAATGCGCGATCCATGTAATATACATATCAATGTCAGCCGTGTACTGCTTGTATCAGCGGTTAAAATAAAGTACCGTGGAAGTACTCCATGTTATATTAACAATTAGTTTGCATTTCCTGACACTTGTAGGAATGTCAAGCATATAAAATCACAAAGACGTGTTTTTGTTGGATGATTAAATCACTTGCAATGAGCGGTTAAAATGTCCAAATTATGTAATCTTGAAGAATGATGAAGGGGAACAAACCCCAACTAGACTTAGAATTATAACTAGGGGTGCTGAACCCCTCGTGCCCCCCCCTCCCAATACACCCCTGATTACGAGCTTACCTTAAGTAGAAGTTTGATTATAATTCTGTTTGCCCTTAGCGAGAGGTGGAGAGTTGTGTAGGCCCACTCATACGTGTCCCAGTCTCTTCTTCTCTACTCCAGCCATAGTACCAATATTTGTGCTCTAAATACTGGTTAATTCATGCGCAGTGCTCTCTCTCCTACAACTCCTCCACTCCTCGCTAATGACTAGTAGAATTATAATCAAACTTCGACTTAAGGTAAGTCTCGCTGGATTTCCAATTTTTCGTTTTCTTGCAGTAAATTTTTTTGCAAAAATTCCTGCAATGTGGAAACACTGACTTATTAATACTAACATTAAATTATCATTTTTCATCACCAACTGTTATATTACGTTGCCTGGGTGGAGGAGTGAAAAAGTTGAAAGAAGATGTAGCAAGGAAATTATTTGCAGATGAGAAACTTTTTTATGTGTCTTGTGAAAAAATGCAGAAAATATGTTATTACAAGAAAGTCATACTTTTATAAAAAGATATCACCAGAACTGAAAAGCTAAATGACTATTTGTAGAGAATTAACTACCAAATTACAGTTTTAGCAAGCACTGGTATGATTGTTTAGAAAGAGCCAATTCTGTAAAAATATATAACCACTGCTTTTTCACAATATCTCTAAATTTGAAAAGGGTGGACCTTGTAATTTCATAAATAAACTAACAAAGCACCACTGAAATATATGTTAGCATGTGTTTTACAGTAAGATTAAGAGCTGAAATAATTCTTATAACCTTGAATTACGCTTTCTCTAAACGCATAGAAAACTTTCGACGCCCTTGGCGAAAGAAACCATTCATTTTTTTAGGCAACCAACCATTATAGTTGTTATTCGTCAAACCAAAAACTTCGCATCTCACTTCAGGCTCCTCTTTATCTTGTACAGCAATGTAAAAATTTCCACCATTAGTTGCCCGAACCATACCATCTCCTCGAGGTGGCTTTAACGCATGTTTGGCATTATTGACAAATATTGCAAAAGCTTTGCTTCCAAACCAATCGATTCCCTTTGCCGTTGACAAGTGCAAAACCATATCACGCGAAGTAAAAGGCCATGGAAGTTGCACAACCGTAAAAACAATTGCTGATTCATCTGATAAAGTTTCCAACTTCTCTGTGCCTGAAATTTAATGAACGTCTTAATTTATAGAGCGACGTGCGTGTATACCGCGGGATTAAACGTACTTGTCATGAAAATGATAAAGTAGCACTCAACACAACAAATGGCGTATAGCCAGCCAATATGACTTTCGTTCTATTTGAATAATCAAGTGCATGATAAGGCTAAGATATAACTATAATTTATGATCCCCACGAGTTTTTCTCAAACAATATTGAAAAATCTTACGAAACAAGTATATTTCGTTTTATAATATCTAATTTCTTTTAATCTAAACTCCGTAAATCAGTCAATTTTAAAAATAACAAAACAAACACAACACTCGAGAAGTTTCAAATTGCTGGTATTATAATTAGTTAGTTTGAAATTTGAATAAGTATGCCACGGACGTAATTATGTTGGTGATTCATAGTTAATGTAAACAAACTCCGTAAGCGGTGACGTGTATCAACAAAGAAGTACGCTCCACCTATTTTCGGTGAAAATAATCCCATGACATACAAGCTGTACTTCTGCTTGTGGCATTCTCTAGCAGGGTAACCAATTTCTCGGGTCGGGATAAAACAAAATCACCCAGACAGCAGTCTCAACACGCTAAAATTTGATGTTATTAATTATTTACCAGTGAATGTTTTGTCCCACTTTAATCGAATATCGAGTTTCGAGGGATGCAATATTTCGGCAAATTTTTCAGCACTTAATTGCAGATTTTCGAACCTAAATAAAGTTTTCGCCGGCACTTCGTCATTTGGAAATGTTTTGCTCCATGAGTTATATTCTCCAATTTTATTAAATCTTTGCGTCCACCCCTCTTGCTTTTCCAATTCGTCTTTGAACCATTTTGCTCTTCGAACTTGTGTTTCAAAATCTTTCAAAATATCAGCGTTCTCCAGATTTGAAGCCATTCTAATTACTGACTAAACTGAACTCTTTACGAAATAGTACACAGCATAGACACAAACAGTTGTGCCACTCTATAGAAATTTTTTGTGTAGCGCATATTTTATTACGCATGTTATTAGCATAGAGGCAGCCAGTCAATTGCTTTTTTCGGGCAATAGGAGGGCAGAGATGGCTAATCGCAGCCAGTAATCTAATTAAATATACAGCACCAAGTTGTACAGTGGAGTGAGACTACTGTATGTTTCTATTCTGTGAAATACAAGAGAACCTGTATTAAGCAAGCAGCACCGTATTCCAATGTCCCAAACTTAATTTTTCAATGGTTTGAAACTGTATTAAACGGTCAGGTTAAGTAAATACACCCCATAATGTCTTTATATTGTACATATCTTCTGTAATATGACTCAAAAGATTTTACAATATTTTCTGTTTGAGTGGACGAATTACGCCAGCAATTTAACTTTTCTTACAGCCCTTCAGCCATTGATAAGAAAACATACCTCAAAGAAAGTGATATATATATATACGCACGGAATTTATAAGTTATAACCACCTTCTCTGTTGACACGCTCGCCATTGATTATTTTTCAGCAGTTTGAGCTCAGACATTTTTACGTATACTATTTTTAATTTCTAGTTCAAGCTAAAAAAAAATTGCTTTATATAGTGGTGTTATTTGGTATATTAAGGAACAATACCAACCGATTTGTTCAACTTTAGTTGTATTAAATATCACACGTAGCCCGTCTGGTCATTTTCCAATGATCGCTTAACACATGTTCTACCGTAGTCGTTAACGAGAAATAGTATTCTGGCGTGTTTTTGGCTAGACGTCAACGGTCGACTTGACGTCTGTGTTTCATGCATGTCCAAAGAATACACGTGTATAATGTTGTTTGTATTTAGTAATATACATAAAAATTCCTCTGCTCTGATTAATTGAGAGCAGTGCAATTTTTAGTAAATACCAGTGCAAAACAAAGGAAATATCTATCGAGGAACCGCTCATCAGCTGGTTCACTATCACTCTTCGTTTTGAACCTTTTATTCACAAGCTACAAGTACAAACATCACTGAAGTATTTCTACACTATCTTCTAGAGTTAATTATATACATCTATTCATACTGACGGCAATTACTGCAAAACATAGGTTGAGCTTCCTTTTTCGTCATAAGCAGTACTCACTCTTTCATCGCGTTTCAAGTCCTCACAGCGTTGCAATAAAAAAGAAGAATTAACTAAACAAACAAAGAACATACAAAACGTACTTAAAACAAAGAAATGTTAAAAGGAAACTAACTTAGCTACGAAAATTTTATTCATATGCTTAAAAGAATGCAATATTCCACACAATCCCAGCGTCGATAACTTTTTAGAGAATGCGAACTTGGTTGGTTAAAAAATGAAGTAATCATAAAAGCCAATTAAATTATACGTTTCACAGAAGCGGGAAAGTCAAAATATTGTTTAATGATCGTTCGAAATATATACTCACAAATCTTTGGACGGAATAAACAAGATCTCTTCGCCTTCGATATGTATATTTTACTGAAGTATGATTGCATGTTTTTCTTTTCTATTGTGCATTTATAATTATTAGTCTGATCTTTCTTAGGGGGTGTTTACATGAGTCCGGAATGACTTTCAATCCCGATCGAAACGTGATGTCAATCCGTGTTTACATGGGAAATCAACACAAGGATTGACATTTTGCGGGAATTTTGAAATTTGAAGATGGAGAACATAAACATTATAGCAACCCTTATTTTTCTGTTGTTGCTGCGTTAATACAGCTTAACACTTGCATGAAACTAATTGTTGTTTTTCTTCGCACTCATTTTAGCCCATTTAGCCTCTTTATTTGCTTACGAGCTTCAATTTGCCAGAAGACAATACCCATGGCACATGCGTGCTTCGTCATTAATCACAATATCATTCCAGAATGAAACTCAATTCGCGTTTACATGAGATTAAAAGTAAATTTCGATCCGGAATGAAATTTTGATCCGGAATGAAAATAGGAATGAACTCGATCCGGATCGAGTTGTGACTCATTCCGGATTCATGTAAACACCCCCTTACATATTGTAAACGAATGCAATAACAACGGCTGGTGTAAGTTTTAAGAAGATTTTTCAGTTTTAATGACTGTGTCTGCAATTCATTATTTACAAGACATTTCGTACAATAAGTTGTTATTATTGTTATTTTTAAGTATTCATCATCTGTTCATGTTATATCTACAGCACAAGGATTAATTTTTGTAGAAACGAAAAACAACTATGGTGATTAACAGCGATTTTGTCAAAAGACCTGGTGGAATTGGTCCTTCATCTTTGGATATATATATTAAAAAGAGATAAACGGGGGAAAAACATTCACATGCATTTAACGTTAGTGTGACCTGCTTGATCTAAAAGGGTAGACTCGTCAAAATTCGAATGGGCGGCACTCCACATAGGAGTACATTTTGTCTTCTGTTTATCATATAGCTACATTATTTAATAACTTGCCAAACTTTCTTAAATACACAGCACCAACAGGCTGGATAAATGGAAGGAGCAATTGGAGGTTGTAAATGACTTATTTTTAAGGCCATGCGCAAAGGAAATTTCATGCGATGAAAATATTGTCTTCGATTTGATAATCAATACAGAAATCTCAACACGAATAATAAAATTTTTTTGTCAAATAAATTTTCTATCAAATATCTTGCTTCTGGGATTGAAATGGTGATTGATTTCCGAGCCAGCTGAAATATTGGTTTTAGTTTTTCATCTCTTAAAGGAAGGTTCAATCAAGAACATTTTTCTAACGAGTATTTACTGCTCCATCGTCAGTTAAAAGATTTACACAGTAAAAGCTTTTCTTAACATGGACGCACCTAGTAAAAAATATATAAATTCTTTATAGAATCTATAAAAAATGCTATCTGTGGGAGAGGGGTAAAATTTGAACGGCCAGTAGCCCTGTGAAAGCTTAAACTGCCCCTGAACACCAAGAATGTGTGCAAATCATGCATCCTCACAGCACAGGGCTCCCGGAGAGTTTGAAAAGTGGGGGGGGGGAGGGGCAAAGAAGTTCGCAAAAGCGGATTGTTGTTCTAAGTGTAGCAAAGTCGTTTATAACAGTTTTATTCATTCATTATAGAAAATTTGTTTGATTTCGTTTCTAAAGTTTATTATAGTGCGTTCAGACTGAGTGACCTGCCACGGTGCTCAGGCACGGGCACCAATGTGAACACAAAATTTTGATGGTGACCGTGTATAAGTGCCTGGGTCTGGGCACCACGAAAAGAGGTAGTACAGGAAGCACGGTGCTCGTATACGAAAACAAATGTGAACGACGACGCCGGAGTAACATGTACAGAGAGACACATAGTCAGCAAATGGTTTCAAAACTTGTTTACAATAAAAAACATGAAATTATAAATAGACGAAGCTAGTGGGTACTACGTAGTGTGAACGGCCTGCAGATTTGTGACCGAACAAGGGTATCTCTTCCAGCAATAAGTCTGAACGCACTATAATTGATCAATCTAACGTCAACTAAAAAATGAAGGAGGAACATAAGTGAGACATTAAATACTGTTCAACATCCATACTTATTAAATGTAAGTATTTTCCAAAGCGGATTTTTATACTTTTACATTTTATAAAGCAAGAGATACTGAAAAAGTGTATCGGCGGTGGTGGGGTTGGGTAGTAATCACATTGATAATAGAATATATATTGATATGATCACGTTGTAATATTAATGCTTTGGATGTCGAACCCAAAGTTAAGATTGATATAGTTTCAAGTAAGAATGAGAGTCAATTATCCAAAGTATTGATGAGAAATACCTAAATTTGAAAAGACACATTATTTATATTGTTAGAAAAATACGTACCTTCGGGAATGGCATGGCACCCTAAAACGTACGTACGTAATGCGTACATGTGGGTATATCCTTTTAAGTATATGGCAACAAAATAAAGTACATTTAATGAACATGGCTGAAATAAAATGTTTACGTCATACTAGTTTAAGATTTGAAAATGTTTCTTAGTTTTAAGACCCTGTACTTTTTCGAACTCCCGTTGAGTCACCTGATTTTTTCAGGTCCTGAGACGATTGCTTAAATTGTCCAGCAAAGTGCGAAGATCATATCTTCATTTAACTTCAAACACCGCACTGCATAAAACATTCATATATGAGAACAAAGCAAACGAAAACCAGAATAGTAAAAGCCGTAAAGGTTTTCAAGTAAGCACTGCATGGCTGAATTTCATCATCTATTTTCAAGATTGGCTATATGGCTAATCAGTGTCATCATTATTAGTATTGCAACGGTATTATTGCACTAACTTGATTTTAAAATTTAAACCTGATCGCAGTCTTATGCGTCCTCGGTCATCTGATTTTGAGTGTCAAATATTCGTGATGACGTATATGCAAAATTTGTTGATGCAATGGTATATTTTAAGTTTGAGCAAATGTAACATGCCGTTGTTTGTTAATGAACAAAGTTCGCAACATGATTTATTAAAAGTTTAAGTTTATGGAAAGCTTTTCTCAACTTGAGGTAAAATGAAATTGTGTTCCACAGTTCTACTCTCACCTGTATTTAACGTACGTTTTGTTTACTGATAGTTCGTAGAATTGAGTCAATTGACTGAACTTTTTTGCTTTAAATCGTGCTATTGTTCCCAAGACTTTTGAAATTCTTCTCATTTCTTCGTCCTAGTTATTCAACCACGTACAAAACGACAAGTGAATATACACAAAGAATTTATTTATCAATGTTTCAGCTGCCTCTGTAGCCTTTAAATGTATTTGTGCTAATGTAATTTCCTTTATAAAAAGACGCATACTGATGTTTGAAACATTTAAAAACGATAATATTTTTAGCTGATGTTTGACATGTTTGTAAAACATATGCTTTATCTTCAATTCAGGGGACTTAGGGCAAGGGTGCTAAGGGTGCACTCTTAACCCAAATAGGGCATAAAAGGAGTGCGAATTTTACTATGAACTAAAATCCTAGTGTACCAAACAAATAAGCAAAATCAATTGTAATTTGTGTTTAATAAAGCATGCTTCCAAAAATTTTTCTTGCCAAAAGCAAATGGAAACAGATTTTAATAAAAAATGTGTGCATGTTTCAGGTACAAATAACCACTGAAGGAAATCTAATTCAAACTAGAGTATTCTCTCTAAAAAATCAATTTGCATTGATCTTTGTCTGTTGAGTGAGTGATTAATTACAAGACAATGAACATATTGACTTTAGTATAACTTCCAATAACAGTCATGTATGGAACAATTCACTGAAAATGTTGTGGGAATTTGAATCTGTTTTTTTAGTTTGTGATTTGGGTTTTATGTGCTAAATGCTCTTTTAGTTTCATGAAAAATCATTTCAAAACAGTAAACAGTGTCTTGATATGCTTTTGTATTGTATATTTATTACTTGCATAATATGTATGACAGTGAAAGGTATAATTTTTATCTATATTGTGTACAACCTGTGCTATGATCTACCAAAATATTTACTATAAACTTTCAAAATTTGGTCAAGAGTTAATTTTATCATTAAAGTTGATAATAAAATTTTGCTTTAGAAACATCAAAGGTTTTGCTATGAAAGAACCAACAAAATTTGATGGAAAAAAGATTTTGTATTACTGGGCAACGAGTATGGAACAGTTGCTTTCAATGATGGTGAGTAAAAATTCAGAAAATGGCAACACAGCCACCATTGATTCTAGTCTTGGTTGATAAATTGAACATTGGTCTTTGATTCAATTTAAACAAGATGCTTACTCATGAAATGTACACCTGTGCTAATTGGGTAGACTTCAATTATATTTGCATATAGTATATTGCTTATATATTGCTGAAAATCTTGAAAAAATGGAATCTCACATGCAGTATATTATGTCATTGATCATGTTTAAGTGTTTGTTTATTAGTGACACCAGGCTTAAATTTAAACTAAGGTGCCCTTGTCCTTTAAGGATGGGTCCCCAGCAGTCACAAATAATGTGTGCTATTTTTGACAAGACTAGAAAATCAAAACTAGTTCAAACTTTGTTAGCCTGAGTATTTTCATAAACTTTACATTTCATTGCACATCCTAAGGTAAAATGCAGATGCATGTTTGAGAATTTGTCACCAAAATATAAGTACAGTTATTGACTATTTTAATAATTTGCTATGACAAAACCACATTTGAGAAAATCCTCAAATTTGATTTCCATATTTTAAAAGTCAAAGTTTATTTACATTAATTGTTTCATGTCAATTTATATACAGTCAGTGTCTTCTGTTTTAAAGTCAAGAGTAATCAACCTGATTTTATTTTGTAGTTTTATTCGCCATTGATGCATTTATGAAATCTAATGTTTTAATTAGGCCTTAAAACAGACCAAAGTTGTAAAATTGAATTATTGTGACGTTTCGTCTTTACTCTAGACATCTTCAGAACAAGTAATAATTAATTAATAAGATGTTAACACAAGATATTATATTTACAAAAGTAAATTACTACAAAAAGAGGTGTCAAATGTATTACATGATAGGAAGTTAAGAAGCAAAAAGCAGAAATTAAAAGAGGTTAAGTGAAGGAACTCTTGCACATTATGAAGGCTAGTATTTATTGATTAGAAGGCTCTCATGAATGGAGTGTTCATAGGAATCGTTTAGAAGAGGAAATTATTTTCAAGTCGTCTAGGTTGGTGTGTCCTGTTGCGTTAATGTGAGCAAAATGCTCGATAACGCAAGGCGGAAAACTTGGTTCTGTATGTGGAGATATTCCAAAAATGCCTGAAAATCGGTAGAAGACGTGTGGTTTGACCCACATACGAAGCTTGCAGTTTCGACACTTAAATAAATAGATTACACCAGATTTTAGAGGTTTGGAATTTTGTCCTTAAAGGAAAGAAAGAAGAGATACGTTGGGAAGGGCAGAAGCAAATTTAATTTATTTATGTGGAAGGCAGCACAAAGGCTATTTGTGTGGAATTTGAAGGAGTATGTTTGCAGTGAAAGGAAGACAAAAATAGACGTGTGATTTGTCAAATATGACCGAACCAGACAGAGGTGAACCTTTTGTTTTAAAAAGGGAAAGAAAGAAGAGATAATAGGAAAAGGTAGAAGCAAATTTAATTTATTTATGGAAGGCTGCAGCACAAAGCTATTGATTGTAAAGAATTTGAAGGAATGCATACCGGTGAAAGGAAGACAAAAATAGATGAGCATTTATGGAGAAAGTCAAGACAGGTGGTTTGGGGGCAAAGGTGTTGTTATGAAGCGATGTGATTTGGTCAAATATACGTGAAGGATAAACTGTTTTGATGTGTGACTTTCTGGTAAATTCGGATGTGGAAAAATGTAAGTAGAACAAAGGTTGAAGATGCAGAAGTAAGCAGGAAATTAGTGAAAGTTTAAGTGGGCAAGGGGGTTAGTGAAGAGGCCGGTGACAGTAGGCTTAGGGTAGACGGAAGTGGCGAATTTTCCATTTGTATGAGAGATGTCAATGTCAAGAAATGATAGTTTCTGTTTAGTTCAGATAGTCAAGAAAGGGAGGACGTGATCGAGGAATGAAAAGTGAAAAACAGTCGTCAACTTCTAAAGCTATGTTTTATACAACATATATTGAGTATACGGTTTACGAATGCCAGAAACATGCCATTCCTACAGAATTGAATACATACTTTTAATCTCATTTATAATTCGTTAAAACTTTTTAAGATTCGGTGATGGTATTATTTGCGATTTCTTGAGTATCAAGCAGATATTTTCTAATAGTTCCCATATTATGTCAACATATATAATCCTGATTACCCATGATGCTCTGTTATATGAAAGAATGTTTTGATCTTCGCACTTTGCTGGACAATTTAAGCAATTGTCTCATGAACCTGAAAAATTCAGGTGACTCAACGGGATTCGAACCCATGACCTATGCGGTGCGGTGCACTGCAGCAAAGTGCCAAGATCATATTTTCATTTAATTTCAAACACCGCACTGCATATAACATTCTTTCATATGTCATTCCTTTCACGGGAAAACATCAGCGCAACAAATTGACCTGCTCTCCACTGTGTGACTTCATAGCTCAGTTGGTTAGAGCACTGCACCTGCACTGCTCTATCCCGTTGAGTTAACTGAATTTTTCAAGTTCATGAGACAATTGCTTAAATTGTCCAGCAAAGTGCGAAGATCATATCTTCATTTAATGCCCTGTTTTGTTGAATGGTCAAGTGAACTAGACCTAGTTGCGTTGAGTTGGTTTTAGAATTTCTTACGTGTAAAAACAGAATTGCTGCTATACGTCTATCTTAACAAAAAACAGAACAAAGTTATAAAGGCTCTGTCAAGTCTGTTTACAGGAACGAAGCTTGGACGCTAGTTAAAGGGTTAAAGGAGGGGGTCGTTCATATATTTAGCTCTCTATGACTGTTTTGATACACGACGCCTATCACGCGCTCAGTCGAGCTACTTGAGCGAGAACAATGTTTGGTTATATTTTTGTATTATATAGCAATTGCCAAATAGCGCAACAAAATCTACGCAAAATTGGCAATACAATGTCACATGTGGCAATGTAATATAAAAGTAAATCATGTAACATGAATTGATTGTTCGTGTTAGTAACCATCCAAGAAAGTTTTTCATTGGTTGAAAGAGTTCGTGTCAGTCACGCATGATTTATGTAAAATGACTTGACCTTGTAGCAAGCTTCAAATTCGAATTCAGCATGTCGAAAACTATAGAATACCGTTCATAAAATTTAGCACCGCAATTGCTTCTCGCATTCATTCCCTTTTTCTTCCTTTTAGACTTGATCGACGTCATTGGTTCGGATAGCGCTACAACTTGTCAGATTGTTGTGATCCGTCATGAAGGTAATTCGCCACAAGTTCTGTCTTCTTATCTATATTGCCTCTTGCAATTTGAACGAATTCATTTATGAATGTCTTAATCCGTAGAAAACAATGGATTTCAAAGGAACTTAATACGGCTGAACATGCCAAACTCCAATAGTGCTATTGTCGTTTAACTCCGTGTAAACTAACCAAAGGGTTGCAGCAGCCATGCACAAGTTTTCACAACTGAGCGTATTTCTTTTCTTAATGTTTTTTTGTTATTTTCATACTGTTTTATTTCACGTTAACTTATTCAAAAAAACACAAAGCTAATAGCTTTTATGAAAAGCTGTACCATATTATTGATTAAATGGGCTAACCTACGTATCAGCTAGGTTTTACTCTAAGGGAAGATATAGAGGTATTCAAAATTTATTGATTTTGGCATCATTTTTTCAGTAGGTGCCTTAATTTTTATTGAGGTCGTACAAGTATCAACTGTCATTTCTAAACTTGCTCATGCCTCTTTTATTTTAACTTGTGTTGTATAATGACCATTTCAGAGTCAGATTGAGGTTAAAAGTTATCGATTATATGTGGGGTTTATTTGCTATGAAATTAGGGCACATTCGCCTCACTCATTCGAAGAAAGTTTCCACCGTTCAAATCGTAGTTCTGTCTGATTATCATGCGAGCAAGCGGCCTTTTAGCACAATTCTAATTTGCAATATTTGAAAATTAAAAATTGAATTCTGAAGCATTGTGTCAGTTTATAGCAAGTCGGAGTTTATGAACAATTGCAAGTTGCCGTTATACATTTAATATTATGTTGCTTACTGTGTCAATGTTTAAATTAATATATTATTTGGAAGTTCTTCCATTTACTTTTTTTGTTCAGGTACAGGAGATTGTAGTTTAACCCATTTAGATGGTGCGAGCACGAAACAGGCGTTAAAAGACATGATTGGGTCGCTCAGCCCTTGCTCAAAATAGAGTCAACGTAAAAGGTAAAGGATACAGCCAAGTTGTAAAATATTTTTTGATCAAAACTTGATTTGTAAGAAGTGCCGTTCACCTGCATTACTTGAATTGTTGCTTTTATGCACAAACCAGCAAGGGCAGTTTTAGTTATATTCAAAATAAATTAGCTACTTCAACGCATAGATTGGCTAATTTTTTATTCCTTATAGAAATTTATGACCATTGACTTTGTTATAAAGGTATTTTAAATTTAAAATTAGCGGTTATAATACATTTTGTCTTGAGATGGATCCGCTACTGCAAAGTGCAAACCAGTGAATGTAATTTAAAACTCTCAATCTCTTTAACCTTTTTGCGAGCTTTGATGTATTTAATCAGAGTTTTAGTTAGCTCTCGTGTAAAAGTTTACTTTGCCAAACGGTGTTGGTGAGCATTTCCTTGAAATGGAGCCTGCCTGCAAAGATTTCCAAAACTATATTAACTATGATGTGTTATTATAGATGTTAATATGTATATGTTAATTTAAGCTAGGATTATTGGATGTAGTGTTTCGTGTATTTATTGCTTTGTCATCTCAAAGTTCACAGACTGCGGCACTAGTTAGGAGGATTAGGAGAGGGATATGACCTTACTACTTTGCGTGGAAAAGTGCAGACTATCCTACAAGGTTAATATTTGCTTTGCGCATGAGTGTAAAAATACATTAAATGACGCCTTGGTGTTATAGGTTTCAGCTACACATCGTTGGTGGATTTTTGGACAGTCGCAGAATGTCAGAAAACCTCTTTATGAAGATATTGAGTAGGTTGCATAACGTTAATGTGTGCAAGGCACTTTCTTACATTCATGTACCTTCATCTCACTAATATTCCACTGTTTGCGTTATTTTAGTGCAACGTAGTAGTATTGAGTCAAATGTTCTTTCTTGCCTTATAAAAAACCCTTTTGCAAATTACTACTGTTATGCGTTACGAGCAAAAACATGGACTTGTACGGTTACTACTTGCTATGTCCATGATATTTCGAAGTTGTTACCTGGGGGACCTATCCTCAGTGAACTCATTAAATAACTGGAACGATAACTTCGTCGCCATCTTTGAAGCGAAGCATGATGCTTATTTTTAGGTATGATCCAGGCTCCTGGATGCCATACAGACGCGCGGTCTAGTTCATTTTCCATATGAAAAGCAATGAACGATTTAACAAATAGATAACATTTAACCGTTGTCGATACAGTTATAGATACACGGGTATGACGTCAATTGTGATAAAAACTAAAAAAGTGGCTACGAGCCGCCGGGACTGGGTCTTCGTGAATATCTTTGGTTTCCCATTCAAGGAGGTATTGCGATAAGTTTTCAAATACATCCGCCATTTGTGTTTGTTTTTATAAACATGAAATTTTCTGTGACGTCATTTCCGTGCGTATGCCCTCTTTTTGATCATAGCTCTCGACCAATAAAATTGCTCAAATTCTTCTGGTTATTGTATGATTTAGTTTAAGTTTTGTTCTTTCGTTTGTTGAGCTAAATCAAGCTTTGTTTTACCAGAAGGCAAAAATAGCTGATGGCTTTCTAAGAATATGTAAATTATAGACCTTTGCTGAATGGGGATGTTTCGGATGAAAGAAGGCACGTTCGGCGAAAAAGTAAGCCGTAATGTTTTCAAAACATTGTTTTTCTCATTGTCTACGAGGAATTTGATGAAAAAACAGACAATGAAATGTCATTTTTACGTATGTCTTACCTTTACAATAATTTCGATCATTGTTAGCTGTATGTCAGAAAAAATCAGCATTTTCACCGAAAACTAAAGCTCTCGAGTCATGTAAACATTTTCCGACTAAAAACAATAATCGTCAACATCTTCAAATGACTGTTCGTTGCTGTATTCCGTTTTTCACAGCTTATTTTTTCAGAAAAATGAATATGTCATTAAAGCTTCTTCTACATAACAATCGTAAAGTTTAAAGTGCATATAAACCTTACGTGGCTTTTACACTATCCAATGTACGTGGTGTCAAAAGCGATACTCCAAAATTTTGATGTAACCAGACAAATATTTTGCGCTGTACAGTCTATCAAAGTTGCAAAAATATACCATTTTAAGCCCTTGGTTTTACCGCTAAAGGACTGGGCCTGCGCGGTCGGGTGACGACATGTAAGTAATCGCTTCCTGAACATTATAATAATTTAACAAGCTACTTTCTTTACTATTGCACATCATGCCAAATGCCCATGTATTTGCAAGGCGATATACCAAGTTGCAAGGACAGACACCGGTAAAAGACTGTCCTACCACTCTATATCATAATTTGCATTTTCTGATGAATCTGAAGATGATGTTTCCGAAAAGATGGGGACATTTTGAAAAAAAAACGACGCAAAATTCGAAATATCGGCAAAACTCTTGATTATTTTAAAAAGCAAATAACTTGTTTTTAATAGAGCCTACGCGACTGTGTTCCTTACATGACGTCACAACATGTACTAGATACCAGACCCCATTGGGGGAAAAATGTATTGAAAATCTGGACTTTTAAACTGCAATTGCGAAGAAAGCTTTAATCTCAATTCATTTGTTTTTAAATTTAGTTTTCGAGTACTGCTCTTTCAAACTACTAAAATCCTATAAGTTTTATATGCACTTTTAAAACACTACGTATTCAATGTTTTAAAAGTAAAACTCACACAATATTGTGAAAACATTGCCATGTAGGCGTATTTTATATATTCGTGGTAATCCACGAACACAACACGCGTATTTTTTCCTACAAAAATCACTCCGTATTGGCTTCATTTTGTCATATGGCTTCTTTATTCGAGTTATCGTTCCAGTCTTTTCATAGAGTTCACTGCCCATCCTTTGTTAGACAAGGTTAATTAATGATAATAAATAACGTATAGTCACAGAATAATGATTATACAGAAGGTGTACAACGCGTCCTCATGTCGGCCATTATTCCAGCCAGATGATTAGCATTTCACTTGTTTACAACCAATAAAATTACATGACGTCAATACTGAATAATGACTACAAGTATAGTTTAACTTAAGAAATGACTTCGGATCATTTTAAAGGTTTGGAAAAGTCAAAACCCTAATCATCTGGCTGGAATAATGGCGGCCACCATGCGGCACGACATGCACGACGACAAAAAACATCAGAGATTCCATGAGTGACTCTTCTGTATATTCTTATTCTGTGATATAGTTACGAGTACAATTACGGATAATTGAGCGCTAGTGAGTTAGCTGCTTGAAAATTGCAACGAAATATAGCGAGTTTGAAAGACGAGTGCTATTCACAGTCTTCACTCTTTAGAAAGTTACGAGTTTATGTTTTGCTGTAATTCACAAGAAACTATTCTATTTAACTTGCCCATAATATATTTTGAGATGTTTTTGCACGACGCCGTCTACATCTGTCTCACCCGTAGCTAACTCTCTAACGGTTTAAAAGCCTCTTTGCGCTTCTCGATTTTATAATCATTCAACAAAAACAACAGTACTTGTTGTTGTGGTTTTATTCTTTGAATTTTTTTCTAATACTTTAATTTAACCCGATTGCAAATATAAATCTTTTTAGCTACTTAACTGCTGCCATGTTTTTAAATATAATTGTAGCTTGTTTGGCTTTCGCTGCTTTTCAGACAATGAAGTTACATTTTTTTACAGTGCAATTACATATTTTCACAATGCAAATACATACAAACTGCACTACAATCAACCAACCAAAAGTCGATTAATATCTGTAATAATACATGAAAATATATTAATTCTGGTAAGGTGCAGTGCAATTTTTAGTAAATACCAGTGCAAAGAATAGGAAATACCAATGCAAATAATTGAACATTTTACATAGGAAATAATAATGCCAAAAATTTTTTTTGAATTAAAAACTATAGTGGCTATTTATAATTTATCTAACCGTAGACTGACTTCTGATTGTAGTGTTGTTAATTTTCAAATTCACTGCGTTCCATAGCAACGAGCTCAACAAAAAAGACAGTTATGTGCTTTATATAATTTTCAATATGTGCTGGCTAAACTTGATGATCATTTATTGTCCTTCATAACTGACTTTTTCATTGCATTATGGACAGGCCTTAAAATTGAAGGCCTAGAAACAAATCACGCGAGTAACTCTAACCACTACATAAACTCTGTAATATGTTCATATTTGTTTTCGCAACAAGCAATCCATGCCATTAGTCTATCCTTTTGATCAAGCCTTTCGTCTGTTCGTCCTTGTTATAGCAACTCGTTTGGTTTGTTAAAAACAGATTCAAGTTATTCACTTATTTCATATACTTATTTCAGGTGTTGTAATGAATTTTTCAGTTGACGTCGATTTAGTGTGTGCTTGTGTTTGTGGTAAGTGCAGTTAATTATAGCTACATATATTAGCTAGTAGTGCTGTTTTTCAACTATTTTAGAGATAAAGAAATACTGGTAAAGGGCATGCCATGCATGCCTCTTTTGTGGTGGTACTGTTGTTAACCAAAATTGGCATCACTCCAGCATTTATAGCATGTAGCTATGTTGGGTGCTTTTTTCGAAACTGGATTAGCGCCTCACCTCATAAGTTGCATTTCTACAGGAAGTTTACTGACCCCATTATCTTTTCGCTTCAATAAACTCTATCAATTAATTCTCTTGATTTCTAAAATCTAAATCAAAATATAAATCTCTAGTTAAATGTAATGTTTTGAATGCTTTTTCACATTACTCTTTTCAATCTTAACCCCAAGCGTTTACAGCGAATTTTTTCTTGAACTAATCTTTAATTTGTTTCGTTACTGTTGCCAAATGACAACTCTGCTGTATAAAAGTTATTATTGTTATATATACTGTATATAAAGAGTATAGTTGTAGATTGCCGATTGCCAATTTCAAAGTGCGTCAATCAACCCGTCCTCACAATGATAAAACAATTATATAAACGTTTACGTATATATTTATAGATTTATTTATTTATCATTTTGTTACAAAGCATAATGGGTATATAAAAATGGGAGACTTTAGAAATCGATTAATTGTGGAAAAATTCAAAGCCTTGTCCATGAACACTGTGCTAAACTCTTGCATGAGTGCATTTTGTGCAGATTTTAATTGCTGTTGGTGTTAAGGCCTGTGTACACGATCCGATTGTTTCGGTTCCGACTTTTGGTTGCTTGTTCTTACGGTCGGATAATTTTGTTGACATTTATATTCGCTTATATGTTTATAGTCTTGAAAGCAGCAATATGTGTTATCTATTACATCATCGATATATTTGGTATTTTTTTATTCTTGTTTTCAAGTCTTTTTCAAATCTAATTTCTTGTGGCAATCAAATCTGGAAAGTATAGAGAGTAAAAAGTTTGAGGCTAATCGGCCTCCTTTTATCTTGTCCGATGAAAATAGAGCAAGTTCTATTTCCATTCGGTTTTTGAGACTGATGGATCTAACTGTAGAGGGCTCACTTTAAACATGTTCACACTATCCGTTTTTTTACATCCGACAAAATCGCATCGTGTGAACGGGCCTTTAAAAGTTTAATGTTCAATGGACAGAAATCTGTAGCCATAAGGCGCCATACTATTATTTATTTTATCATAAACAAATGTTTTGGGCTTTTTAGTTTATGATCATTGATCATTCAATCATTGGACAGTTATACTACATATTGTTTAAGATTTGAGAAAAATAACATTGATTACATGAGAAGCTGTTTACTATATCTGTGATTTTGAGTCTTCTGATCCATGAAGCTTTTTATTTTGACAATTTGACTGGAATGGTATTAAACATGAGTAT